TCTCACCTCAGTCCCTGATTTGACATTTCCTTTTACGTTGCATTTCATGTCTATGTCTACGTCTTTGCCTTGCATCAAACCAACATTCCTCAGTTTGATCCTCAGCCAGAGGCTCCGCTACGCTCTCCTGATTATCTGCCGACACCTGAGGCACAACCAGGGAGGAAGGGCCTGGGGAGGAAGATGATTCCGAATCCTCCAGCAAAGCAAGCTCAAACCTCAGATCCAAATCCTCCTCTTCCTCCTGGCTCAAGTCTGTGTCCTCCAGCAAAGCAGGCTCAAACCTCGAGGCCAGATCCCTCTCTTCCTCATTGCTTAAGTCTGTATCTTCTAACAAGGCAGGCTCAGACCTCCAAGTCACAACATACTATTATCTGTTTAAGCAGTTCAGCTTCCTGTTTATAGTTAACCATGAATCTTTATTTAGCATGCTTTCTTTTATAATTCTGTGAACCTTCTACGATACTCCAACATATTTTCTGCTGCTCATGTCTGGCAGAAATTAAGGCGTATAAGTATATATAAATAGTTTGAATTATGATCTGTCTTATTTTAATAAAAATTTGTGTAAAATAAGAAAATACCTTTACCATTGCCTATGATAATTTTTTTAGTATTTTCACTGATATTATAAATATATTAGTATATATTAATCTTATTCTTTTTAAAATGATTTTTACTACTGCTTAGTTCTTTACTGTGGATGGCCTGCACTTCAGGTGGATGGCATTGTAAATAATATACATTTAATCTATCTATTATCTCGGTTTGTCTATCCATCCATCTATCCATCCATCCATCCACCACATTTCTATACTGCCTGTCTCATCTAAATTTTGGGCAGTTTACAATAAAAATTTTGATTCATTGTTTTGATATTGCTTCCATCATTTTGAGATAGGGCATGTCTAAAGTAGAAAATTTGAACAAACACAGAAAATAGAATTTCCTATCTCCTTCAAAAATATATTAAAAAGAAAATTGTAGACCTGCCTATTTATATGTGATATATTCAGTTTTCACTATGGTTACCTTCATTGTTTCTCCTCCCTCCTGCCCCCAATGTATGAATTATGTCTCTTAATCATCAAAAGTTTGCTATGAAGTAACTAGCATAAAGACATAAACACAGTCAAATTAAATTCTGTTGAATAATCTATTGAATAATCCATATTGTACTTTAAATCATAATATTTAAATTCCTACATTATGCTAACAACCTATTAAAAGATTGTTTAATTTGGGCTAAGGTATTGCATGAGTCCATATAACTCTTTTCAAAATAATCCAGTTGTTGCTTATTAAACCACCCATGATTAAAACAAGCCTTATCCTAACACAAATGTCTGAACCTGGTCACTTCTGCATTTATCTGGTGTTTCATGCTTTTTGACATTTTACAACTAAAACATGAAGCTTGAAGGAGGGGGGAAATTGTCCTGTGAAGCATTTAAAAGGTGAGTGTTGATTTTGTGTCCCAATTCCTACTTTCTCTCCAGACTCTCTCTCCTCACGCCAAAATGTGGAATACCTTGGCAGTTGCAAAATGTATGTGTGCATGCTCATGCTGTTGCCATGTCCAATGGCAAGTTATTATGTAGATTGACAGACTGTCATTGTTTTGATAGTTTGAGCAGTATATCTCTTGAACAGGAATAGAGCTCTTATGCAGAAAGTATTCTATGTTCTGAACCAATTTACAGGGAAACAGCAATAACATTTTATCATGGTTGAGAGCCCCGTAGCTGCTTCCTATTAAGCTTGCCCTTTCAGATACCTGTCTTGGATTAATTTGTTGATTTCAAATGGAAACTCAGTCTTCTCCACTGAAGCATGACTTTTGAGGATAGACTTACTGAATGGCAATTACGGTATATTCTATCTGCTTTCAAACCATTACCAGCTATGGGCACAGTGGAAGACAGAGGACTTCTGCAATAACAGATTTATATGTGTCTAATTCTAGCTGTCAGTTATCTACGCACCAGTAGATGAATCCTCAGAAAGATAAAATGCAAAACATCTCCAACTTGCTCCTTTTAATGATATACTTGCTACAAGAGATAAAAGGGAGGGGGACGGAGAAGAAGAAGGGTCTTGAATATCTTGAAGGAAACTGCATTGGGTGATTTTATTTTTGACCTTTTCTTCTAGAAACAAATATTAGAAATATATTGACTATATCTAGATCATCCTGTTATTTTCAAGTGTAAATTAACCTCACTTATAAAAGTGTACCTGGGATATTGTTTGGCTGAGGACTACATATTTCTAGTGAGGGCTTCACTGTACTCTGAACTTTAGACTGTGCACAGAATGTATTGGTATATTGCATGATTTCACATATGGTTTAGGTATATTTTGTTCCTCCCTCTCCAATTAACAAAATCTCATGAGATTCCTATCCTGTGAAATCTCATAAGATTTCAATCTTATACAAAATCTCAGAAAAATAAATCCAAATTTAACATGAGATCTGATCATGTCATGGAACATATCCTTCTTTAAAACTCAGTAAAAATATGGAGTTTACAAGCATTATTGACAGACTTATATATATATATTTTGTTGATCTTGGAAATAATGTTGCTAAGTCCTGAAATTCAGTAAAGAGTCTTTGGTGTCTTAAATCTTTTTACAATAGAATTTGGTTCTGGGGAAAAATATAATGCCCAAACAGTTAAATTCTGAACTTGCAAACTTGAGTAAAAGCATCCTGATATCTCCAAGTGTTGTTGTTAGCATTCAAGTCTATATTCCATTAATCTAACTATGGGTATCTAGATATTTCTAATTTTGTGAGATCCTTGAACTGTGTTGATATGGAGTCATTAGAAGTTTGACGCCATACAAGTTTAATAAATTATTAAGTGCAGAGCATTTTGGAGCCAGGCAGTCAATAAATTAAATAAATAAATAAAATGTAAACAGGAAGCCATTTACAGGCATTGTGGTGTTATATACATTTAAGATAAGACTCCTTTTGTGGGATCCATCCTTAACTTGGCATCTGTTTTGTGTTACTGGAACTGAACATTTAAGACTGCATTTCACATGCACTAGTCCATTTCAATGTGTTCTTGAAAGGTATATCCATCAAGACTAGCACATACTTCCTATTCATTTAGATAATCTTCACAAGGATTACTTTCAGAATTCTATTTATCAGAATGAAGAAGGGGAAGAAACTTTGCCAAATCTAGTGCTTCATTCATTGAATTTTCTTACACAAGGAAGGATTTCCTGGAACATTTCTGACATTTGATAAAGAGCTTTTATATCTGTCTTGCAATTTCTGAAAAGTTTTCTATAAAGAAGACTTCTATTTTATTCTCTGATTTTTTTTTAATGAAGTATTTAATGGTGATGACTTTTATTTAGTAAATATGTAGCAGTAGTGAAGAACACTACTACTGTTGATATTATCTGCTATAGATCTTTCTGTCATACTGTATCTCTATGGCTTTCCAATATGAAAAGGGCCAATGGAAGAAATGTTTTCTTTGGGGAATTAATTGAAGAATGACCTGCAAGGGAAGCTTCAGACTATTTAGATTATAATGAACAGTAATATACAAGCATACTCTTCAACTACATTATAATATAAAAAGCATGAGAATACCATGTTCCACTCAATTCACTGAAATTCTCTCTTTTGAAAGAAATTCCAGAAGTGATTTCTTTTCAGAATGTTTTTCAGAACAGATAGGGACAATGACCGAAATTTTCTGCATAGTGTTTATTTTTCCTTATGGATCGTGACTTTCTTTATATTTTATATTGATAATTGTTGTAAATGAACAATTCAATGAACAATATCATTCATTATGAACAATAGCAACAAGGTATAATTAATATTCTTTCTGTTGGAAAGAATAATTGGAAATCAAGCGATAAGTACATTTAAGGTAGAAAAATAAATTGTTAGAATAAGGGGTAATATAATTTATTGTTCTAGTGTTTCAGCTTTGCTGCTTCTTATATGGCATCCTATAAACATAGTCACTGAAAAATCCATCTTTTAAAATGAAAAGGGCATTATTTTGTTTCAAGCAGTATAATAGTGGAAGAAGTTTTCATTGTAACTTCCATTCGTTACTATATCACATTAATGATATGAATGCATTGCTTTTTTGTGAAGTAAATTATAAATGTGTAGATTTAGAAATAAGCTCCTAATTAATTTACTTTCCTCCCAAGTTTATATATTCAATTGCATCCTATTCCATTTCCTTTCTATAATTATTTTTATATCCATCTTTAAAAATGTTTACATTTGTATAGTTGGTTATATTTCAATTTCAAAATGTTCTTGCTTTTCATTATAGGAAGTATAATTCGTATGAAATTGCACACAGTTAAGCTGATAGCCACCATCATGCCTGATTGTTTAAAAAAAGAATAGCCTAATCTGCTGAAATATTTTTCACTATATTTTCAGTCTGTTTCAACTGCTCTGGGGTTTATGCCATCAGTTGGTTAGAGCAATAGAACAAATGATGTTTCTGCTTGGACAAGTTTTGTTTTATTAGGATCTGTAACCTCAGCAGTTGACCCAGAACTGTAATGCATGTCTCTGAATAGATAGGGAACATATGTAACAGAGACTTATTTCTTGAACATCTGAATATAATAACTGTTTGATAAAAGGAAGCTTACTGTAGGAGAATTTCCCTTTGTCTTAATATAGTAGCTTATGCTTCTGACAATATATTTTGAATCATATTTTCTTATATAGAATGACCAAAGGGAGCTATTAATTCTGAAGAATCTTTATTTTGTGTCTGGCAATTCATCTAATAACATGCATGACCAGTATGGAGGATTGATGACCTTTAATTTAAAGAAGATTCTTCCTCTCAATATCATCCCTCTAGATCATTTTTCAAGTCTCCCAATGAATGTAGAGAAATGACAACATAGTGTCAACATATAAAAAGAAGTCATTCATGACATGTGAATTTTGACATGAACACTTCTCTTCTTTTGACCTTTGACAGGTTAGGGCTTGACCCAAAGCTTCTGGCCAAAATCTTAAATATGAGTTCAGGCCGTTGTTGGTCAAGTGATACATACAACCCTGTGCCAGGAGTAATGGATGGGGTACCTTCTGCTAATAATTATCAAGGTGGCTTTGGAACAACCCTTATGGCTAAGGTATGTATCTATATCTATACAAAAATAATACATATTGTGTAATAAACAGAGTTGCTTTTTTCAAACAAATGTTTCCTTTGAGTATTTCCTTCTGAACTTCAAGTTAATATGTAGAATTTTCTCCACTATGCTGACATACTTAAGATGAATTAATATCTATTTCTTTATATTTTGTGGCCCATCATTATTCTGCTTAGTATATCTCATATACACAAAAATATCCAGTATTAGTGCAATTCATTCTCATTAGAGAATGTTGAAAAATTACCGTTTTTAAAAAAAGAAAATGATCATAGTAATGGATCTTCATGTGTATGTATTATGTATGTATATCTCTGTGTGGATAGATAGATAGATAGATAGATAGATAGATAGATAGATAGATAGATAGATAGATAGATAGATAGATAGATAGATAGATATACACACACATACATACAGATATATTGATGATACATAGCAATTATGGGAATGTTTTGCTACACCAACCTAATTTCTGAACACATTCAACATGAGAAAATTTACTCCATTTTGATATTACAAGTCTTAACTTAAATTCCATGGGATCTAACTGGGTAAAGTTTGTCATGCTAGTCTTCTGTAGATTTTCTGCTGGTTTTCCGAAGAGCTTCTATCAAAACAATAGTTAAGTAAAAGAGGATTGGGTTAAGGATAAGAATGCAACCCGAATAAACATCTCAGACAAGCCTCTCCCTGGTTCTCACAAAGATAAAGACAGTTACTGTAGTTTTACAATAAAAGTGGTATTAGCTTACATGACATTGGATTCCTAGTCTGATTTACCTTGAAGCTGACAATCACATTGCTTTCCTTCAGAGATATGTTCATTATTCCAGCTTTCTCTAGAAATGATAAAATGGCATAGTTAGAACTAGCGAATTCAAGTTTCCATTGCCTTCTGGAAAGCTAGACATATCTCTGGTTGGAAGCTATTCTAAGCTGGGCTTTCTACAAAAAAGGCACATATCTACTAACATTAAGGGAAAGGACATGGAGTATATCCATTCTGTCTGACATAATAGGATGTGCCATTATTCTGAAGGCAAGGTAATCTGGCAAATAATGCCATATACAGTTTTAAATATGATAAGCAGCATGTTGAATTCAATGCAGAAAGCACCCAGGGGCCAGTGCAACTCACATGAAAATAACTTGGACAAACTACAAGGTACCAAAAACTGTATGCACCACTGCATTCTGGATTAGTTTGCACATCTGATTGTCTTCAGAAGTATCCCCACGTAGAATTCATTTCAGTAATCCAACTAATCTAATTTCGTTTTCATCCAACTAATATATTTCATTTCATCTAATATAGAAGTGGCCATGAGCAAGGTTTTCAATTTTTTAGTAGGAATTTTTCTAGCTACATATTGAACTTAAGTCCTTTCATGCATTTTAAAATAATTTTCTAAGGAATGGTGGACCTCAATATTACTATCCTATTTGGTAATATATATTACTCTGTAATGAATACATGTTTTTTTTCTTCTCTCACTCAAAATATTTTCCTTATTTTTAGGATCTTGGCTTGGCCCAGATTTCTGCCACCAACACTAAATCTCCAGTCCCACTTGGATCCCTAGCCCATCAGATTTACAGGATCATGTGTGCCAAGGGTTATGCCCAAAAAGACTTCTCATCCGTATTCCAGTTTTTACGGGAAGAAGAAAACTTGTGAAATCTCTATTGACTTTTAACTAGAGACATTGTTTAAAAAAATATGTATTTAGAGCCTCTTTCAGATTAATCAATAAATACATGAGTTTAATCAAAGATTAAATTTAATCATGATCTCACCCATCTTCTGTATTCTAAAGTCACAGCTAACTCCAAGGTTTCCTATCATTTCAAATACTGTGGAATTCTTTTTAATAATTTATATATCTTGCTTTTTAAAAAGTGCAGTAGCAAGATTTAAAGAAAACTCAGTATATTTCTATTTACTTACCTACTTCCAAATAATCCTTTTCTAAACTTGTTACGAATTTGGGGTGAATTTTAAGTTGGATTGCAAAATGGACATGGCTTCTAGTTTGGGAACAGTTTTTCTGAACTGAATAAGTATAATGGTTAAAGAGATCCTGAACTTCCTAAGTAATATTCCAATTTACTTTAAAACAAAATTATTATAATCAAGAATTAATGATAAAAATCTGTATTAATTAATGGTTGCAATTTATTTGAAATCTGGTGCTTATGGTTTTGGAAAGTCATAGTAAAAATAGCATAATAAAAATAACATGTTTCACATTTTTTCCTCAATAGCCTAATTTTATATATTTTTATTTTTGTCATCTTTTCAACATTCATGATTAGTTCCTTTACTGACATGCAGATATCTTTGTATTATTATACATCTAAATAAATAAATCCTTTGAAATCTAAGGTAATGATCACAAGAAGAAATATATGGGCTTATTGTGAGGGGGTATTCTCTTGCTTTTATTATGATCAGATTCTATGCATGGTCCTACCAATAAAAATGCATTTGAAAACTACATAAGAGAATTAAAGACCTGTCTTGCCTAAACAAGAACACATAGTGTAAAGATCTGTTGATTGGTGTGTTATTAAATTTCAATTTTGGTTTGTTAAGAATGCAGTCAAAACTATTAAAGTGGATAACTATGATAGAGAATATATAAGACCATTCTTTATTGTTACAGTAATTCTTGAAACTCTGCATGAAGAGAAATAATAAACATTTATCAGAATTGCCTGATCACCATAGCTTTTAACAGGGCAATTGATCAACCTACAAATTATGAATACTCCTATAAAAATGTAATGAATTACCAACAGAATTGGATCCCTTTAGAACATGTTCCCCATTTTTTGTTACTGTCACCATGAGTCCTAAAACTAGTATTTGTCCTAGAACTGAAGTAATACATTTTTATATAATCCTTTTTATAATTAGCTATAATTATTCAGCTGATTTCAGATCACTCTTGTGAGGGTTTATGTGTGGTCAAAATGAACAATATGGCAGCAGAAAATTTGCTGGGTAATTTAAAATATAGAGTCAAAAAGACTGAAGAAAGTTCTCTGCTGGTTCTGTAGATCTGACAGATGATAGGGCAGATTTGATAAAGACCGCACATAAACACATAGAACATACTGGACAGTAAGCAGTCAAAATGTTCCAACTAAGAATGCTAGAAATATGAAATGGGTGAAGCTTCCTCTTTCATTTTGATAGACAAGGCTATAAGGGGGAAATACAGCCTGTTAATTAAAGGTACTTAGAACAGAGGTAGATGACTTACTTTTCATGGAGTGGATTCCTTACTAGATTGGAGTACTAGGTTTCATTTCCCAAGCACTACGTGGGATTGTTTCTTTTTTTTTTTTTATAATTAGGCATTCTACACAATCAGCTATAAACGTGAAATAAAGTTTAAGTGCTTAATTTTCTACAGTGGTATGATAAAAAAAACAAAAACTACAAATAGTATATTAAGAGTTTGTCTTCCAGTCAACATTTTTTTTTTCTGGAGTTTGAAAAAAATTTCCAAAGCCATTTGGTGGAATAGAGCCAGAAAAAAATCCTGATATATATTACTGTTTCATTAAAAGAAATGGCTATGAAGCCTTCTTGGGATAATTGCAGTTAGTTACATAGCATAGATTTTGTTGCTAAACAGTTTAACATGAAAAAAAATAGTCTTATTATGTCCACTAATAAGTAAATTGGGATGTTTACTCACATAAATTTCTTTGAGTTCTGTTCTGTGTTTCCGTCCCAGGTCAATATAGGCAATTGCACGATTTAGTAATTGAAACACCCATCAGTTTTGTGGCAATAGGACTTTTTCCTATCTACCTTTCCTTTCTTTCTACCTAAAGAAAAAGTAGGTGAACAAAAACTGAAAAAGCCCAAATATTAGTGTTGATATATGAACACCAACTAATGCTAGGAAAAAAATGATATTTCAGTGCTTTACCTAGTATAACATCACACAATGTTTTATATGGCCCTATAGGCAGAATTAAAGGGGAATGGAATATGTAAACAAAAAAATCCCCTTGTCATTACTTAATTACGAAAGCAGTTTGTGTAGATGGCAAGTTTAAATAAATCAGCAGATAAAATTTGCAAAGTATTCTGTTGGCTGGCAGTCACTTTCAGAAAAAGGGGCTGTAATCCATAATTTAAAGCAACAAAATTGTTTTGAGCATGATAGTGGTTTCAAATTGTGTGAATTGTTATGTTAAATATCTGGAGATGCCATCTTGTTTATCCCAGTGTAGAGAATATGGTTTTATTTCTGTCTGAAGTTTTATACATTTTGTGAGCAATTAGTTTCTGAAGTTTTTTTTAAGCATGTCATATTATAAAAATGTGTACTGGATGACTTTAATCTCTTAACAGCTCTTTGAAACCTAAACTAAATTGTGAAATTAATACTTAAAATGGCTACCACTCAGAAAATAGAACATTTCTGTAATAGATTTATCACTCTTGTGTCTGATTTTATAATTTATCAAAAATTGTATCATAACAGAAGCACATGATTTATTAAATATATAAAACTATATTGAAGGTTTCAAATCTTAGTCCTTATTTCTGCAATTTCTTTAACCATGTTGTTTATTTCTTGATATCTAGAGTAAAAAGTATGCTTTGACAACTGAATTTCGTAGATGGAATTAAAGAAAAGATTTTTCATTTCTCTTCATCTTCTTGCAAATAATATAACACAGTCAGAGTTAATTAAGTTATGTCTACTTGTTAAGTCTTGAGTTCCTAGAAAAAGCTAGGCTTTTGTGAGTAACTAACCAGTAATTAGAAAATGTACCTAATCTTACAGAAAATAAAGGTGAACTCATCAGTTGCTGAATTACAGCAACCATTCCACTAGAGTTGAGAAAGATTATATTATCTGGGAATAGAATAAACCTCTGCAAATATTTTCTTGCTTTTTCAACATGACATATGGGGAACTATTACATAGAGGGAAGATCAAGGATATGTCATTCAAATTCAAAACCAGAAAGGATCTTTAGTCAGTCACTCTCGTTTCACATGACTGTTGAACATCTGAAAAAAAGAGACCGATTATAAATGAAGGTAGGGATTATGTGGTCTATATCCTACAGGAGAGTTAAGAGTACAGTTAAATCTGCATGTGTATTACATTTAGATTTCAGGTGGAGAAGAGATATAATTTGGAAACGAATCTGATACCAAGAGATACCAAGTACTGTATATCATTGGAATGGTCTTAAATATTGTGGTTGTGGTTCTTATTTGAGAATTTCTTATGAGGTATCAACAATTTAACAGCTTCAGCACTTCAAACTATTCATGATATTGATAACCACCTATCAACCACACTTGATAAATAGCATTATTTAGCAAGGAAGCTGTACAATTTTAAAATCATAGTAACTGAACAAAATCAAGAAAGAAATAAAACAAAGCAAATCCAAAATATGTGGTATATAATCAAAGAAAGTTCACATTTTCACCATTCAATTAAAATTTTACATAGAAATTATTAAGTTGCTTAAGTTCTTGTTAAATCAATCTCTCAAAAGGGAAAGCCAGCATAGAAAAGATAATTATCCCATGCTTTGGTTACCTTTATATAAACAGTGACTTTCAGGCAGCCTGCATAAATATATCTAATGCAAAGAGAAACTATTAAAGATCATGAAATAATAAGGAAGGTATTGAATGCCAAGGATAAATATAAGAAAAGAAATAAGTATGTTTCCTCTTGCCTGCTTTGTAAAGAAATTTACTCGGTAGATAGATAATAGGTTAGATTGCAAGATTTGATTGTTAATAATTAGACCATTGTGTCTTTTGAGACACAATAGTCTAGTTCAACTGACTGGTTTCATTATCTTCAAATAAACGACATAATAAAAGTATTATTTATAAATTGTTGATAGTGTATGATTTGGAAACCAAAAAGTCAAAAATTGTATGATTGCATGGATAAAGAATTTAGATGCAATAACAGATACGCAGCAACTGGAATTTCAGTTGAAGAAGAATAGTCCAAATGTGATATTTAAAGTAAATCGAAATACCCTATTTCCCTGAAAATAAGCCCTATCATGATTTTTCAGGGTGCTCATAATGTAAGCCCTTCCCCGAAAATAAGCCTCAGTTAAGATTGTCAGCCAGACGGATGCATTTAGAATGGTATTTCCCTGAAAATAAGACCTAATGCGTCTTTTGGAACAAAAATTAATATAAGACCCGACCTTATTTTGGGGCAAACACAGTAAGATCTCTTGTTATATTAATACATTCATTATTATATTGCTAAAACAAATAATTCATTATCTAAATATTAGAAATGTAACTAGCAGGTTAGATCATTCCTTCATACTTTGAAGCAATATTGTAAAGCTCAGTTTTGGAAAATGATTTGTGCCAGAATGAATCAATTTCAGGTTCCATTTCAACTTGTATTATTTTAATTAAATTTTTCTTAAACATTAAATTATTGGCTTTGTATATAGTAATTGCTGCATTAATACTATATATCTTACTGGAAAGAATGTTTCATGTACTCTATGGAAGAATGGACAACCAAGCTTTCAAAATATACTTTGTTGTTCAGAATAATTTCATATCTAAAAGTAAACATTTCCAGATTCTAATTCAATACAAACAAAATATATGTTTCCTGTGCATAAAGTCTATATTTTAAATTTATGTACTTTATACAGCTTTAATAGTGATTTTCATTCATTTAACATGAATGGTTATTCATAAACAATTAATGATATACAGGTAGTCCTCAACTAATTGAACCCAAATTTCTGTTGCTAAGTAAGATGGTTGTTAAGTGACTTGTCTCATTTTATGATCTTTCTTGCCACACTTGCCACACTTTCTTGTTAAGTATTGCTGCAGTTGTTTAGTTAGTAACATGATTGATAATGGCTTCCCCATTGACTTTGCTCATCAAAAGATTGAAAAAGGGATCATATGACCCTAGGACACTGCAGCCATCATAAATATGAGCCAGTTGCCCAATGTCTGAATTTGGATAACTGACTATGGGGATAATAACATGTTGTAAGTGTGAAAAATGGTCATGAGTCACTTTTTTCAGTGCTGTGGTAACTTCAAACAGTCATTAAATTAATGATTATAAATCAAGGATTACATATATTAGAAAGTTATATATACTGGGACTTTTATAAATAAGACTACAATTCTGTTCTGCTTATCTAGGAGTAATCTCTTTAGAAACAGTATGTAAGATTTAAAGCATATATAGAAGGGTACTTTTAAAAAACCCACTTTTTTGAGACTACATCTCTTGCTCTACTGAAACAAAGAAAGCTGATGCTTACTATTTTTTTTCTTTACTGCAAGAGAACACACGTGGGCTATTCTGTGAATCAGACAGAAAAAGAAAAAAGTCTTTCCAACTAGGACTGCAATCTGAGATATCAAATCCTTGTGCCAATATGTCCAGATTTGACAGAAGCCCCCTGAGGCTCTGTTTTTGGCAGCACAGTGTGGTTTTTGTAGTTTTATTGCCAGGGCCCTGGTGGTTGGTTAAATTCTGCTTTTATGACCTAATGTAGCTCTCCAGGTTTCCACTTGAGCTGACATTTGTTTATCTGACTGTTTTGCATATTATATGACTGAACAGACAAGGGGACACTTACTGTATAGCTCTGACAGGCAGGGAAATGGCTGATACTCAATCTGCTGTGAGCCAAAAGAATGGAAAGATCAGTGAGAACTTGTTAAGAAATTATCTCTGACCCCTCAAAGGAAAATAAAAGATACATGGGAAAACTTGTTCAGATATGAGTAAGAGCAAGTTTTTGTCTTTTTTCTTTTTCAATAGAGATGTAATTTGTGAATAATGTATCATTAAGTAAACTTCCCACAAAGATTGCATGATAAGTTATGTTTGCATATGATTCAGCAATATTTTGATATTAGTATTTCTCTGATTTTTTTTACAATTATGAAAAACCAGAATTATGCTTCTTCACCTACACTGCAATGCAATTTAGTGTGGAGAAGGGGGGAAAATATACAATATTTGCAGGACTTGGCATTGTTTTCCTTTGTCTTGTAATCATACTTGAAAAATCTAGATCAGACCAGTATAAAATGTGCAAATGTGTACACACACACACACACACACACACACACACACACACACATGGTTCTGCTATATTTCACACTAAGTGTCATTAAGCAGTACTGGACAGTGCAAATTGAGTTTGATATCTTTTAAAAAAATCGTATACTGTATCCATAGAACCAGCAGTTGTAAGTGCCTTGAATAACAATAACTCTTTTTCAGATTGTTACAGTAGTAATGCTTGTTTTCATTTCAACCCAATTTCATATATGTTTCAATCAGGAAGGACATCACATTCAAGTTGATATGAATCTAAGTTAAATTGAACTTCAACCTCAAGGTGAAATGA